ACCATCCCATATGTTTATGTATGTAGATTTAATAATAGAAAGTATTACAAACCATAGTTGCCTTCTATGGGCAAACCCGCAAAATGAAGATCAGTACAGGCCGGTTGTCTGTCAGAGTTTACCCAAAAGGTTCAGCATCATTCAATTTACTTACATTGGAGAAGTTGTTTAGGAAAGATCCTGTCTCGACAGAGAACCGGAGAGTTCTTGAGGGTGATGGATGTGGAGCAAAGCTGTTCACTGCCCATGGTGTGTATTGCGTCTGATTGTTGTTGTGAATCAGTTGTCTCTTCAGTACACGGAAGGCACTACTTAGCACAATTGGCGTCTTCTCAGGTGTGCTAATCATTTCTTGGATGTCTGGACCCATTATAGGATCAATGAGGTGGAATTTGTGACGCGGATGGCAGAAGAGCTCTTCATCGTGCAAGATGTTAAACCGCTTACAGGTTCGAAGGATAACAGTGTCAGAGTAGGCGCACCATTTGTAACGCAGATCGCCAAGAGGCTCATCCGGGTTAACGCCATTGAAGGGCATATAGATAACCTCAGTGATATCATTTTCGTCTATTGATCGTTTTATAGTTCCCGAGTTGGTAAGGTGACACCAATCATAGAACCCAAACTGTACCTTGAGTATGAAAGAAATTAGCGGAGATGGTAACTATCTGTCAATTTTCACTCGCTCTCATGAAAAATCAAAACGTGCATATTTTTCTGGCGTTTATCATTATATTGCTACAACAATGTGGTAGTATCAAATCGAAACAAAGTACGTACCATTAAAAATCTTCGAAAAAAACGTGAAACTGAAAATATTTGTATTTAAAATATCCCCTTACGCGGTTAATTTGAAAGCGAATTGCGTTTTCCTAGTAGATTTGTTCATATTATTAAAACTATCACTAAATGCAACAGACTAGCATATTCGCTTCTATAATGTTACATATTTATAACCTGATTAGGATGTGAAGGACTTACGATAGTTATACTGGATAAGCCGCAGTGTATTCTTTCTTATATCTGAGCCAAGCTCCACACGAAAATTAAAGACGCAAGAAAACTGCGTTATGGCGGAATGATTTCAGCAAGCTACTCCAATCGACGGAGGAAATGACTATGAGTTTGTCTTAAATTCCAGCACCTAACATTCCAAAGTTTGACTCGGGCATGTCTGGTTGCCAGCGGTAGGTTCATCTTTCCTGCGTATCGAGGTGTAGCTCCTCAAAAACTAAATCCCACCCACAAATGTGCATATTCAGTCTCGTCCTCTTTTGTGTGCACGTATGCTGTGCAAGTAACGGGCAGGAGGACTTTTTGGGTCCACCATTCGCT